TAGGCCTATTTGGGGATGATCCCCATTCCTGAAGGCCTCTGGTCCCTCTACAAACCAGGATTTCTTCTAATTTCTCCTGGACTATCTCTTAGAGACCTGGGGCATATGTGTGGGGCAGAAATGAGGGGAAATGGGGGAGTGGAGGTGAGGGATTAGGTTGAGTTCCTTTCCCTTTTTTTTTCACAAAAATGTAAATCTCAGTGACCCAGCTGTTGTTTGGATAAAAGTAACTAATAGTTCTGCTCTCTCCAGAGCATAGCTGTCCCTTTCTGTCTCCTTCATTTGGTCCTAAGAGAATGTATGTGTGTATGCGTGTATACAAGAGAGATATGGGGAAAAAATAGAGACAGAGAGTGGAGAGATTGATTCATTGTGCCCAGATGGGGCTCTAGTGACATGAAATCAGAATGCAGAGTTAAAGAGTTGGAAGTCTGGCCCGTGGACCAGAAATAACAAACTTAATGTAACCAACATTTTTTTTCCTTCTTTTTTTCTTTTGTGTTCCAGAATTAGCTGGTTATGAGGCAATGTGATATAGTGGAAAGAATATTGACTGGATTAGGATTCAGAAGACTTGGTTTCCAATCCTGGCACTTCCACTGACTAGCTCTGTGACACTGAACAAAATCCCCACTCTTCCCTGAGCCTCAGTTTTCCTCATCTCTAAGATAATGAGTTAGAGTGGGGAAGAAACTCAGGGATCTCTCCAGAGATCCATTCCCACCAGAATTGATGCTCCAGTTCTGTGACTACTGATTTTGGCCTCCCCTACTCCCTTGCTCAGACACTTCCTGTTCATTCAGTCATTTTAGTCATGTCTGATTCTCTATGACCCCATTTGGGGTTTCCTTGGCAAAGATACTGGAGTGGTTCTTCTCTAGCTCATTTTACAGATGAGGAAACTGAGGCAAACAGGGTGAAGTGACTTGCCCACAGTCACATAGTAAGTGGCCAGATTTGAACTCAGGAAGATGAGTCTTCCTGACTCCAGGCCTGGTACTCTTTCCACTGTCCACTCTGTGCACCATATATTTAGAATAGGAAGAGATGTTAGAGGCCATCAAGTTTGATGTCCCTCTAGGCATCAGGTTAATTAACTTGCTTAGAGTCACACAGCTATTAGATTTGATTGTAAGCTCTTTGAGGGCAGGGGCTATCTTTTGCCTCTTTTTTGTATCCCCAGTACTTAGCACAGTTCTTTCATACAGTAGACACTTAATAAATGTCTCTTGGCTGACTATTGAAGATCTGAGATGGGATTTGAATCCAGGTCCTTCGAGTACAAAGCTATTGCTCTTTCTACTATGCCATGCTGCTTTTCTACAAACTAAACTTTAGTTCCTTCTGCCTCCTCCCCAAATATTACTGCCTATTTATTTTATAGATGCATTTATTTGTAGATATTGTTTCCCCAGAGAGAATGTAAGCTCTCTGAGGACAGGGACTATTGCATTTTTGTCTATGCATTCCCAGGGCTTAGCACAGAGCCTCGCACATTGTAGGTTCTTAATAAATATTTCCTGATTAGTTGATTGACATGTAATCCTGGCCAAATCACTTAACCTCAATGAGTCTGTTTCCTCAATTTGTAAAATGGGAATAATAATACAATGCCTATCTCACGGTGTAGTAAGAAAAACCACTTTGCAACCTCTAGCCTGCTATCTACAAGTGAGCATTTTCCCAGTGTTGTTGGCATATCACAGCCTGTGTGCCTTTAGTCTGTAAAAAGAAGACTCCACAGTTGGGTCTAGGGCTGCAAAAGAGAGGGGGGTGTGAAGGTATATGTGGGGCGTGGGTGTTTGTGTGTATGCCTGTGTCTGTGACAGAGCCTGAGTTTGGGTGCCTGTGTGCCTGCGTAGGAGTTCTCAGTGGATGAGCGTGTGTATCTGTGAGAGAAAAGAGAGAGAGAGAGAGACAGTGACAGAGACAGACAGAGGGAGGGAGGGAGGCAAAGAGAGCACAGGGAGGGAGAGGGAGCTATCAAGAGTGTGCTTTGTTTTACTTAGCTGAGAGAGATGATTATAACCATCTATTCATTCTCACCAGAGCTGCTTAAAGCAGCATCCTTTCTTAGTACTTTGGATATGTAGAAGCCTGCTTTTCAGAGGTTTCTGGTGTCAAGTTTAGGGCTGGGGTGGGGAGTAAGGTGCAGATACCCACTTTTTAAAAAAAGCATATGGCCTCTGGGGTCATTAATTTTCCCAAATGATAAAGGAGTTCTAGAAGCAGCCAGCAGGAGGTTTTCCCTTGTTTAAAGGTATAACAGTAGTAGACTGGTTCAGGATTGCTGTTGGGTTTATGATATTGAGGAAGAAACAGTAGCTGTTTCTAAAGGATACTGTACTCTGCAGCTTCTGCAGGTCCAGTATAGTGCAGACTGAACTGGGAAATCCCAGACCCTTGTTATTCCTTACTGCAGTGTCTGTCCTGCTCTTGTAGGACACTTTGGTCCCTTAAAGGACAAATGCCATTTCTACCTGCTTCTCCCTTCCCTTCAGGCAGCCAGTGAGGTTCCTTGAGCCAGGTCCTGTTCAAAGAAAGAGCTTATAGCTAAGCTAAGCAAGAGTTCTTAGACTGCAGAAAACTGCCCTGTCTTGTCCTTTCCCAAAAAAATTGGGAACCTAAATAAATATCCCCTAGGCCCATCTGACTGCTGGAGATATTGGAGATGGAGTAGAGAGAGGAAGAGAGGAAACATCCTTTTCTGCCAACATTTAGTGAATAAAACCCAAGTGTTCTGGGTCTCCCTTCCCTCTAGACAGCCTTGATGTGAGTGTTCTGCTGGTGGCTTATAAAAGGGGGTCTGTGGGGTCAGAGAGCCTCTGAGATTTCATCTAATTGAAGCAATGAATTCTCTCGGCAATGACTGTGCCCTCCACTATATGGCCCTCTGCTTCTCTCTGAGCTCAAGGGTTTCTGGAGAGGGAAAAAATCTTTTCCCTCCTCTTGCTTGGGTCCTCTTTCTCCAAAACCCATACAATCCGAAGTCTGAATTTTTCCTTTCTTCTCTCACTGGAAGGACATGTTCGTTTGGCTTTGGATTCTGAGTCTGGTGGGTGGGATAGGGGAGCAGAGATAGAGGAAAAAGGAGAGGGACGGAAGAGGCAGAGGGGAAGGAAAAGGGAGGGGAAGTCAGGGGCTGGACCAAGGGACAGTGCCCAGAGTAGCCGCAGACTAGGAGGGAGTTTATAGGCTGCAGATGGGGCTGCTTTTATAGGACTGGCTTTATGGTCCAGGAGTGCCTTGCCTTGATCCTTCTAACTGGAAGTGTCAGTTACCTTCCCCTGATTTTAGACTCCCGAATAATTATCTTTTAAGGGTAGGGAGAGTGGGAACCCTTATCCACCCTTTCCACCCAGCTCCGCAGTCCCCACCTGATCGGGGATCGCTGCTCCCAACTCCCGCGCAGAGCGCAGCTCCGGGACCCGCCGATTCTGTTCTCAGCAGTGCACAGCTCAAAGGAAGGCCGGTTTGGGGTGGGGAAGTTTGAGCGGCCTAGGTTTCCCTTGCAGAACCTGGGAGCTGGGGGACCCAGGAGAGCCCAGGAGGACAAAAATGAAAACGGAGAAAGAGAAGAAAGGGACGACGGCCCCAGTCTTTCCTTTCCCCTAGGCTACGGACCTCGGCCGGTCTATAGAAAAGCTGCAGTACCGATCTTGGGCAGGGTGGGGTGCTCTTGAGCCTGGATTGGATTTTAAAAAAGTCAAGACTAGGGGGAAGGGGAAGAGAGGAGGGGGAGATGCCTTTGCCCCGGGTTTGAGGCCTGGATCACTATGTCAGGCGAGGCAACTGAGGGTTTCAGAATAAAGTCTCTTTGGCTTGTGGTTTGTGCTCAGTGTGCCCTTGGGGCGGCGATTCAAGCCTGAGGGTAAGGAGTTCGAGGGCGGCTCAGGAGTTATTTCTCGGAATCTGCCCAGATGCCACACAAAATCCCTACTACAGCTACCACTGAGGCAAAGAAGCCTAGGAATGTTCTGCTAGTTCCCTTCCTTGCTTTTTGTCTAGACCTGGGCTGCAAAGTATTGGATAGAGAAAGGGGACCGCAGTTAGACGAAAGCTGATAACTGAGAAGTGAATAAAAAGAAATTCTCCCTGAAGGGGATACCCGAGATAATTGCATCCCAGACAGCTAGGAGAAATCTCGGTAAGCCTTCGAACCAAATCTCCCCGGAAGGGTGAGCCCTGTCCACAGACACATGTACCTGCGATATGCACATATGGACATATGTTATAAAGAACTACTTCGAGCCAACTTTTATGGTGTCCACTGTGGGTAAGGGATGTGTGTGTGTGTGTGTGTGTGTGTGTGTGTGTGTGTGTGCGTGTGTGTGTGTATGTGTCCTCGAGTGCGTGTGCACTCGGTCAGGGTTTTCTATCACACAAGCCCTATACGTGCAAATGGATCCTTCTCTCGTAATCCCTAAAGTTCCCTTGTGCGAACAAAGTTACCTGAATCTGCAGCGTGCCCCCAACTGAAAAGGAGCCCTGTGTCCCCCTCTTTCCCCCCTCCTCCCAGCAGCGTCCAGGAGGGTTTAGGAGAAAAGGGGTCGGGGAGTGAGGAGAGGGGTGTGTGTGTGTGTGTGTGTGTGTGTGTGTGTGTGAGAGAGAGAGAGAGAGAGAGAGAGAGAGAGAGAGAGAGAGAGAGAGAGAGAGAGAGAGAGAGAGAGAGAGACACTCTGGGGAAGGGGAAGGGGAGGGGGAGGAGCTCTCTACTTCCCTGACAACCCTCCACTTCCCCCCCCACTTCGCCATCCTCCCTTTTCCAACTTCACCTCCCAACCCCATCCTTAAAAAAAAACCAAAACAACAACAATACCCTAAACCTAAGCCCAGTGGGACGCACCCAGGTCCACCCGACGTTTGAGAAGCTACACCCCCCTCTCCTTCCAGGTCCCCCTCCCTCTCCTTCCTCCTCCCCCCCTCCCAGCACGGTCTCCTACATTAAACCTTTGATCACGCACAGAAAGAATGTGCTACTATCCCCGCGCTGCCGCTGCCGCCGCCGCCGCCGCTGCCGCCGCGCCGGAGCCCGAGCCCGAGCCCGAACCCGCGGGCCCCTCCGGAACGCCGGCGCCGCCTCTCGGAAAGCTCGGGCCCGGGGCGGCTCCGCGGCAGCCGGACCGGGCTCTCGGCGCACCGGGAGCCGCCTCGTTTGCCTTGGTGGCCGCCACCTCCCCGCGGCTTCCCGGGTCTCTCCTTGGCTCTTGACGCAGTCTGGAGCTGCAGCCGGGTTTCCTCTCCTTTCCTCTCCTCTCTCTCCTCTCCCAGTCTCAGGCCAAACCCAGCCCGGCCCCGGGAGGGGAGGGGGGGGGAGGGAGATTTGTCTTGGAGGAACCTGCCGACGGAGCTTGGGGAGGAGGAAGAGGAGGAGGAAGGAGGGGAAGCCGTAGCCGCCGCCACCACCGCCGCCGCCACCTGCCACCTCTGCCCGCTGCCTGTGCTGGGGATCTCAGCGCGCGCTCTCCGGGAGCTGTACCCCACCCCCTCCTGTAGCCCGCCCCAGGACACCCCGGGTTCAGGTAGGCGAGAGGGACTGGGGGCTGGGACAGGGTGGGAGGGGGGAGTGTTTTAGGATGAAGGGGTTCCTTCCCTTGCTGCAGTAAGGCAGACCGGCAGGACCCCACCTCAGGGGGAAGCATCGCCTTGTTTTGGGGGGATTCGTAAAGAAGAGCTGGAAGAATGAGGGGACGCCCCTTCGCTGCCGACACCGCCCCCCCCCGCAATAGCTCAGGACCCTGACTCTTCGTCCCCTAAAGCTTTAGCTTCCGCTCAGCCTTCTTTCTTTCACGTTGCTGCGGTTCTGTGCCTTCGCTGTGCCCGCTTCCCTTCGCGGTCTCCCTCTCCAGTGCCAAGGCTCCCTCCCCTTGGGGCTGTGAGTACCCGAAGTTAGCGGCTGGTGAACTCGAATCAGACCGATTTCCCCCATCAACGCCCCAAGACCTCTCCCCTAAGACCAGGAGACCCCCAGACCTTTCAAGGAACCCTAGGGAGCAGCAGATTCCCAAACTTTCAGGGTCCTATGGATCCCCAGGCTCAGGGAAGTGGGGCGGTGGGGGGGGGAGAAGGAGGCGGTACCGGCCTGGAGGGTCTCGGATCTCTTATTTCCCGTCTTCTCTGTGGAGAACCCGAACCAATCCGTGCTACCAATCTCCCTCCCCCCCCCCGCATGCATACACACACACACACACACACACACACACACACACACACACACACACACACACACACACACACGCTCACACTCACTAAGCCTCCCCCCTCTCACCCCCGTTTAAAGCAGGAAAGATGCTTTGGGATTGAACTACCGGGAAGGATGTGGGGGATGGATGCAAAGAAGGGGGTTGGAGGGAAGTGGTGCGCCCCCATCCCCATGCACAATGAGGGGGCTCCTCCTGCGGGATGCAGAGGCTGGCTGTTCTTGGGGGCTCTGAGTCCCAGTTTAGGGCAACGTTGGCCCCAAAGGCTGCATCGCCGAAGTGTGAAGAACGAGCACTGGGCTATTAATAGGAGCCTGTGACCTGACTGGCTCCTTCAGACTGCTTGGGGAAGCCGGGCCGGGCTCTGGTGGCCACAACCTCCTTCAATGTTCACCTCTTTCTCTCCTCCACTCCCTAAAAAATTCCTCTCGCTCAACCCCACCAATTCTTCCTTCTAACCTTCCATATTCACCCGCCTGGCCTCATCTCCTCTCTCTTCCCTAGTCCCCACTCTCTCACTCTCTTTACCCTTCCCCCATCTCCTAATCTCTTGCTATTACCCCTTTTCAGCTCACTGTCGTTCTCCCAACCCCCAAACTTTTCCTAGCCCTGAACGGGACTATATAGCTTCGCTACTGGCCCAGGGATTTGTCTTTATGGAAGGGTCTCAGTGTACTCCTGGGCCTAGCTCAAACTGACGCCCCTGGCCAGGGTCCCCTACGCAGGTCTTTGATTCACTGGGAGGCGGGGATGTGAAGGATTAGGTGAATGAGGGGTGGCCAGTTGGGAGCTGCCGCCACTTCTCTGCTCCGCTACAGCTGTTTTCCCGACCAGTGGGTACGGAAGTTTCTCGCGGACCAATTACTGCCTCACCCTCCCGCCCCCGATTCCCTCCACCCACCTACTCCCACCTCTTGTTCCTTTGGGCTTCGGCTAGCCAAAAGAGTTTGAAGGGGATTGGGGGTGGGCAGATTACAAAAAAAAAAAACTGTTGGGGAGCTAGGAGACCTGGGGATGTCAGAAAGGAATAAGGAAGCTGTCTGTGAGTGTTGGTGAGGGAGCGCAGAGGCTGAGGGGAACTAAGGGGAGTAGGAGAAGCTCTTAGGAAGGGGGGGTCAGGGCAGCTTCTGGGAATTTGGGGAGAAGAACCCAGTTGCCTCTGCAGTAGACCCAAGGCCTCAGGTCTCCCCCAGCAGGACGGTGCTGTCATTGCACCTCAGGGGATTTATTCCAGTATTCTCGGCTTTTAAAAATAAATCCCCTGGTGTACTGTTGGTGGTTCACTTGTCTGAGCTGTAATCGTTCTTTCCCCCAAGCTTCCTCCTCCCTAGAGAGCTCTGCCCCCTCTCCTTTACACAACAGACTTGTATGGTCCTGTCCCCCTGTTATGGGACGACATCTTCTCTATTATCTTCTCTACCTCCACTCTACCTTGTGTGAAATTTCTGGGAGGCTAAAGATGTGTGGAGGTTGCTGGTGCCCCTACCTACCTACCCCCAGCATCCCCCCACCATCCTAGTTATCGGAATTGAGGAGGGACATTGCTGGTTTTTTTTCTTCCCCTAAATTTATCTTAGGGGTTTGGAGCAGGAAGGAGGGGGACGGAAGTGGGGGGGGTGTATATAGCTGCTTTAATGTGCCTGACAGATGTGGCTATAGCGCCACCTTCTCTGTAACAGAATTAATGATCAGCATGGAGGATGCCAATCAGAAGAGCCATTGGGAGGCTGGGGCAAAAGGGAGGAGAAGGAAAGGGGGCAGGAGATGGAACTGAGGAATTGACAGCATTTTTAGGAAGTCAGATTGTAATTTTCTGGGTAAGGAGGGGCACTTGGGTTGGAATGGACTGTTCAGCCTAAGAGGTTGGTAGAGGTACTAGAAAGGTAGGACCCAATTAGATCTCCTTCCTCATATGTAGCCCAGTTTTGAGTGGCACCTCTCCACCGTAGTCTGACCCCTCCCCAATAATGTTAACCCCAAACAACTAGTTGATTTCCTTTGATAACAGCTGGTATCCCGCCTTCTCCAGGGACTCGATTAGCTTGCTGAGGTATAGGCCCAGAGAAGCCTGCTTATGTTCCCCTGCGACTCTTGGAACTTCTTTCTACTTTAAGCTAGGGGTCTTTCCCTGGGCAGAGATAATCTTCAGAAGCTCTGTGCCCTGATCCTAGGTGGACAGGGTGGAGGTAAGACTCTCTCTCCCAAGACTCCCAGAGAGATGGCTTACCCTGTCTTTTCCTTTCACCTCAGCCCAACAGCCCCAGCCTAAGCCTGGATATTCTGATTTGCTCTCCTGAAGGCCCTGTCCATAAAAGAGGGATTATAAATCAAAGACTGAGGTGGGGCTCAGTAATTGAAGAGGGGCTTTCCTTGCACCAAAGAATGCAGATCCAGTGAAATCCTAAAATCTGGGTGTGCTTGAGACCTCACCCTCAGTACAACTTTAGGATCTGGGTAAAGACATACCCTGGGGCCAGCTCCTGACATGAGATGCCCAAGTGCTTCAAGGTGAGGGGGTAAGGAAGGGGAGAAGTAAGTGCTCTAACCCAATGCCAGACAATTAGGAGCCCTATATCACTTTTTATTTTTATTTTTTACTTTCTGTGGGAATGTAGAGGAGAAAGCAAAAGGGAGGACCCAGCAAGGGAGGAGGGGGTTCAAAGCAGGTGGAGTTGGGGATTCTTTAGCTGAAGGAGAGAGAGCCTTGAGGAGAACCAGAAGACTCTAAAAGCCCTTTGGAGGATGCAGTAAGAGGCCAGGAAGACAAGAAAACTAGGGAAGACAAGCTACAGAAAATTCAATTCATCAACACTCACCATCCCCTCAGTCCCCCTCGCCCCATTATGACTAAAGCCACCATAATTTTGGTTCTGCCTCCCCCTTCTGGAAGCCAATGCTCATGGGGCTGGGTCCCCAGAGGAGAAAAAAAAAAGGAGGATTTGAAAGCTAGTTCCTCTAGAAACATCTACTTTTCCTTTTCTTTTTCTTCCAGAGATGGACTCTCTTGGTCGGGTGGGAAGCAGAAAGAGAACTCTTAGAGACTTATTAGGCCCTGGAGTCAAGGGAGGGAGTCAAGGGAGAAGACCTATTTCCCACAAGCGAGTTTCCACAGACTGCCAGTTGGTCTTTCCTTCTCATAGCAATTCTTAGGTGCCTGATGACAGTAGGTGGAGACCCCCTGGACTCTACCTCTGGGGACCCTTCCCTTTGCTAGCAACTGAGGAATGGCTCAGGGAGGCAGCCTTGAGGGCAAACTAGGTAGTTATTTTCACCTTCTGATGCTAAAAAAAAATCTGAAATGCTTATCCATAAGGAACCTATAGATTCTCACTGGTATCAGGGTAAAAATGGTGGGTTTGTGACATCTTCCCTTTCACATTGCTCCCCAGACTATTAACTTTTGGTGGTTTCATTGTAATTTCAAGGATATTCTTTCTTTTTGTTCATTGCGAACTGAGTTCCCCAGAGCAAAATGGGGGGGCCTCAGGAAATACACTGATTTACCCCTTCCTCAATCCTCCTAGGGATTACCGTTTACAGATTAACTTTAAGAGATGGGGAACCTAGCTCACTATGTCAGACAAAAAATAGCCCCTGGGGGGAACTCGGTCTTGACCCAACTCCTATCTGAACCCAGAACTGGATCTAGGTGATCTCATCAAGTATTTAAGGCGCTGGAGCAGCCCATGTTTGGGGATGGGCCAGTCAATACAGGAATTAGTTTTCTTGTGGGGAATTCATTCATATTCTCTTTCTCTTCCTCATACACTATAGGATTTATCTTGATTTGCTGCCTTTGAATTGAGTCAACTCTTTTGTATGCTGCGTGAATTGGCCAGCTGCTTTGTAGAAAGAGGAAGGGAGCGTGCAGTGGGTACAGAGGAAAAGGGGAATCAGTGCTGGGGATGGAATGAGACAGGAAGGAGGGTGGGGGAGAGGAGCTACACTTACAAAGAAAGCGAGACAGCGCTGACCTAGGACAGGCTGGGGGAGGGGACAGAGCGAGAGGTCTAGCGTTGCCTCCTTAGCTACCAGAAATAGGGTTGGTAGGGTTGTAGGATTGGGAAGACAAATGCCCCACAGTATAGAGTGTGTAAGCTCTTTGAGGGCAATCATGTTTATCTTTTCGTCGCTCCCTAGGTCCCCTTTTCCCCCTCCCCCCGCCCCCGCACGAAGCTCAAGACCTCGTACAGAATTCGAGCTCTCAGCATGTCCGTCGGATAAATCCAGTGATGGTAAAAGGGAGAAGAACAGGGGCTGAGAGTAGGTCGAGGGAGACCTTGTGCTGAAAACACCTACTTTCCAACCTGCATTCTCATTCCCAATCCTCACCCTCCTGATCCTGGACAAATAAATGGTCTGGTAGTGCAAAAGTCCAAGATGGAGGGAAAGCCCCGAGGATCCCCTGCCTGGCATATAATAAGCGCTTAATAAACGCTCCGTCATGGAAGAGGTTGTGTGTGTGTGTGTGTGTGTGTGTGTGTGTGTGTGAGAGTGAGAGAGAGAGAGAGAGAGAGAGAGAGAGAGAGAGAGAGAGAGAGAGAGAGAGAGAGAGAGAGAAAGAATGTCTGGATCAGAGAAGTTGACTAATCAATCCATATTTATTGAGGCCCTCCACCCCGGCACAGAGTCCCATTCTTAGCGCCACTAGGTAACAGAAAACAGTTAACTTACCACCCCCTCCCCTCCTCTCCACTGCATCTCATATCTTACCTCCCAAGAGAAGCTACCTTGGGACAAACTAAGAGAATAGCTCAATAAAACAGATTACTTGGTTGCTTACCCTTCCTACTCCTCCCTCCCCCCTCCTCCAGTCTAAGTATTCGGAGAGGGACGAGTGGGGGCGGGAGATAGAGGACTAGAGCCCTGAGGAAACCCTTCTTTTAATGCTAATAGATCTTCTAGCCCAACCCTCCCTCCCCCCCTTAGTCGCCCCCACAGCTGTGGGACACGGAGATCGCTCAGTTGTATGGACTGGAGAGAGGAAAGACTGATGTACAGGCAGAAAGAGAGGAGAGGAAAGGAGAGAGAATGAGAATTCTCTTTGCCTGAGAGGGGAAGGGAGGGGCCGCGCTCTCAGATCGATGGGAGAAGCAGGGGAGGAATTTCAATACCGAGAGCAAAGTTAGAGACTGAAGGACGGCAGAGAGAGAGAGAGGCGGAGAAGCCTTGGCAGTGGCGGCTGGCAGCTAGCTGGCTCCGCAGGTAAGGAGTCAGAGCCCGGCTGTATTGGCACCTTCGAGAGGGGGGAGCAGGGACCGAGACGGGAATGGTGGCTGGAGTTGGGGATGGTGAGAAGGAATTCAGGGCTGAATTTTAGGAAAGGAAAGCCGATAGCTTAGTCTAAACTCCCTCTTCCCCGTCTCCTTCGCCTTCAGGTGTAGCACCTGAGCACCAGGTACAACGTGCAGTTGCTCCCTGCCCAAGTCTCGGAGTCCGAGGGGAAAGCAAGCTCTACGTCTCTCTTTAGCTCCCCTACCCTTAGCCATCCCTAAAAACTAAGTTCGGAGGAACTTTGCAGTCCGGTTTGCCCTTTGGCTTCCGGGCGCCGAGGTGGGAGGGGATGGCCACTCCTCCAGTTAAACAAACAGTCGGGTTTGCTATCCACAGTCATCGACTCGCGTGGGAGCCCTGGGGCTGAGCGGTGGCTCTCTCCTCGCCCGCGTCAAGGAAGAAGGAGCGAGTGAGCGAGCGCAGGACACGTCGTCCTGCTGGGGACAGAGCGACCGTCAGCCGCGGGGGACTGGGGAAGACGCCGGAGCCGCCCGGAGCGCCCCGCCTGTCTAGACTTGGAGCCTGCGTATGCCCTCGGGAAGAGGAGGAGGAGGGAGGCGGTGGCCGCGCAGCGCGTAAGTTTGTTTGCATCCACTTCCGAGGACAGGGCTGGGGGGCTGCACTGGAGGGGACCCGCACTCTCCCCACCTCACCTCCACTTCTCCGAGGAGCGTGGGGTGTCCTTTGACCTCGAACTCTGTGCTGGGGTAGGGGTGGGGATGAAGAAAAAAATGGGTTCTGCCTGGAGTGCCAAGGGCAAGCCCCCTCTCCCTTTTCTATCAGCCCTTCTCAGGCCGGGTCTGCTGCTGGGTCAGCCCCCAACGAGCTAAAGCAGTTGCCTTTGATCGTCTAACAAACGCTGTTCAAAGCTTGGTTCTTCCCTTAAAGCTAGGGAGTATTAGCTATTTGTCAGATTTCCTTCCCTTCGCCTTGGTGGGGGGGTGAGGGGCGGAAGGGAAAAAATACTGGGGATAGCAGGGGCTCGTTGCTCATGGAAACTAGCTTAGGTTCTCTCTTCTGGGGACCGGGAGCTTGGGATGAATGTGTTAGCAACATTCTGGGCTTAACTCAGGCAAGCCCCTTTTCTAGGGCTCTCCATGGAGCAGAAGCCCGATCAGATTTGTGGGGGAGGAAACCACCCTCTGCGAAACCTCTGGGGCTGAGTGGTAGGTACCAAGGAAAACACCTTCTCCTTCCCTCTGCTTCATTCCGGGACAGCCCGGAAAACTACAAAAGGCCAATCGCTAGCTTGACCTGGGGGCTCGGGAAACCCTGTATAAAGAGATCGGACAAAGTTAGTGATTTTGTTTCCTTTGTTGATTCTTTACATTTGGTTTATAATTTACAAATAATAACAACCAATTCACGTTTATATTCCTTTAAATCCTACGTAACACTCCAGTGAAGTAGATAGTGAAAATATTTATTATCTCCATTTTCCAGATGAGGAAACTGAGCCTCAGAAGATCTCTACAGTGTTCTCTGAGTTGCTTAGTAAAATGCAGAAAAGGGATGAGAACTGGCCTTTTGACTCCTCCTACACAGTAGTTCCTTGTTTGAATCTCATAATATTTTTGAGATGTATCCATGCCCCATTTGACAGATGGAGAAACTGAGACTCCGAGAGGCTAAGTGACTTGTCCAAGATCACAGAGTGAGTCAGTGAGAGAAACTGATAATAGAACCCTGGTACCTTTATTCTCAGTCCAGTATTCTTACCTAAGACGACATAAAATCACCTAGGAAAGCATGAAAACCTCAGTACTTTTTTAAGCAGGCAAGAAAGGTTATGATAAGGCTATTGCAATAAAACCCTATTAGGTACTCAGTACATCAATCTCTCCCCTAGGCACCCTGACTCAAAACTGGGACCCTTTTCAGTTTAATATCTAATAGTTTGCAATGTGGCTAAATGTAGAATTCCAAATGATACAGCAGCTTGGGAATAAGGAATAAGGAGATTTGTGACTCTGGAAAAGCTCAGCATGGACGTGAAGTAAAAGGTATCTCTATCAACAGAAATAGCCGGTCTCTAGACTCACAGAGCAGGGGGAACTTGGAAAGGGTGGGAGCAAGGAGAGATGAGGGTGGAGGCAGTTGGAGGAGGGATGGGCTAGATCTCCTTTGGTCTAGGTCTAGAACAAAATCTGGGAAGGAAGAAAGACAGGAGGGGCTTACTTCTACAGAAAACCCAGTAATTTTTGTAAGTCTTCCTCAAAACTGGATTCTCTGTACCTTCAAAAGAAAAAGGACAGACTGACATTCTCAGAATCCCTAGAAGAATGCCTCCTCTAGCTAAAATGGTCTCATAGCCTGGAGCCGGTGGACAGACAGCTTTGATTGACTTGGATGCCTTTCCCTTATCACTTCACATGGAATGTTCGGACCCCAGATGTCCCCAGTGGGTTTGCCTCGATTCTAAATAGCAATTGAAAAAAATATTAGGGACAAAAAGGATGAAAGTGATAGACATGAAGGTTCTGGGTACCTCGTTGCAACATGCAAACTGCCCCCCTCACCTCAGCTCTAACAAACATTGATGAATTTTCTCCTCCAACTCTTCTGGATGAAGGGGATGGAATAGATACCAGGAATAGGTTAATCCAGTTCAACAGCATTTTAAGTTTCTACTCTAGTAGGCAACATGATGTGGAGGAAGCAGCATTGACTTCACGGCTTGGGTTCTGAGCTGACTCTACTGTTCATTAGCTTGGTTAAGTTGCTTCCTCCTCAAGTCCTCAGTTTCCTCCTTTCTAAAAATGAGAGTGTTGGACAAGATGATCCTTAAGCTCCTTTCTAGCTCTGAAGCCTATGCAGGACACTGTGACCCCTGCTTCTCCCCATTGGAGCTATCCGGTAAAATCTTACTGTGCTTAACTGTGAACGGAAGCAGAAGATAGGTTTCTGTGTGGGTTATTTCAAACGCTATTGGCTTGGAGAAAATTTATTACCATAGGTGCATAGACTTTTTGTGTCCATATTTCTCTGTAGAAAAGGGACAGGCAGATCCTGTAGATACACCAGTAGATGTATATAAACATATATGTATAAATCGAGAGTGGTTAAATGAAATACACCAGTGAATGACAAACATGCAGATAGATCTCAGGGTCCAGGTGACAGGGTAATAAATTTCACAGCATGAACCAGAAGCAGTCAGTAGTGTTACCAGGGAGCACTGGATAAATTTTATTATGTGTCTTTCAACATCCCTCTCCCCAACCATGTTATTCTTCCTGAGATATTTCACTTTACTTTCTTTTACTAATTCATGAATTCTCTTGCTGGTTTCCATGGATGCTTCTCCCAACTAAAGAAAGACTCACTCATTTGCTACCTGGTCCTTACATTTGAGGCAGTTTGATGTAATTGCTGATAGTGTGGTACGAACTCCTAGAAAAAGAATCCCAGAATGTTAACAGCTGCAAGAAAGCTGCCCTCTCATTTTATAGGTAAGGAAACTGGAGTTCAAAAAGGGGACATGGGGGGCAGCTAGGTGGCACAATGGATAAAGCACCAGCCTTGGAGTCAGGAGGACCTGAGTTCAAATCCTGACCTCAGACACTTGACACTTACTAACTGTGTGACCCTGGGCAAGTCACTTAATCCTGATTGCCTCACCAAAAAAAGGGGGAAAAAAGGGGAAAAAAAGAGCGGGGAGGGGACATGATTTACCCAAAACTATACAACAAGCTCTATGACATTGTAGACATGGACTTTTGCCTAAGTTATCAGCCATAGCCCAGGTTCTGGACTGAATAGAATTAGATCCAGTCTTGGACACTCCTCCCCACCACACTTCAAATCACTGTATTCTTGAATCCTGCTTCAGACACTTAATAGCTGTATGATTTCGGGCAAGTTACTTAAACTCTCTGGTTCTGTTTCCTCCTCAGTAACTCGAGAGGATTGATTCTGATGATCATTCTAGCTTTAAAGCTATGTGATCCTCTGTTGCCCTTCTTCCTCCAAGAAAAGGCCCAGTCACTTAGGAGTGACTGGGGAAAGAGATTTGGATTGAGTCTCAGGCAACGTGGTTGGGCTCTCATAGTTGGCTCTTGAGAATCTCAGCATACAGTTTAAAAACAGTAAGTCTCTATGTCTCAGGATAAAAGGATCCCAGATCCTACATGAGCACACAAGGTAACAACTCACATATCAGGTCCAGGACAGCCTTTATTCCACATGTAAAAACAGTGTTTAAGTAATAATAATAATAAGTGATCAATCTTTTCCCCTGTCAAAGGCAAGACTAGACCCCAAATCTTAACCATCCAATGCTCTTTTCATTATACTGTTGGTTTAGATAAGCAAAATGGCTAAGCTTCTGGAACGTCCCTGGGTTGCTAATGTCGGAGTTATGGGTTATGAATAGTGAGCTGCCAGCTGGCTCTGCTGAACAGAGCAGATACCGTAATTAGAGAGCCATGACAGAGGCCTCTCTATGTGCTATTTTTGTCTACCTACCCTTATGCATACCTGTGTGGCTCGCCCTGTACACAGCAGTTCTACAGTGGTAAAAAAAAAATGTGGCATATTATGGTAGTGACATCAAGAACATAATGTACACATCGCATATTGTCACTGGCTTTCTTCCTAGATATCCTCCTTACACCCTCTCTCCCTTTCCCCCTCAACAATTTTCCCTAGCCCATTGTCCTGCTAGTACCCGAGGAGAAGAACTGTTTCATCCTTAACTAACTTTAGAACTTTTCTTGTCCTGACATGCAATCCTTTAGAGTGAGGGGCAGAAGAAGAGACCTTCATCCTGGGTCTATTAAAAAAAAAAAAGAGTGTCTGGGAGAGCCAATACTTTAAATCCTAGAAGGCTTTTTTTTTTAAAGATCCCTTTTGAGGTGAAAGACATTTTATTTTTATAACATTCTCTTACTACAAAGAAAAAAATGGGCAAGTGACTTGCCCAAAGGAACGCAATGAAGTTAATGACAGAACAAAAATCTTGTTCTCTGAGACTCATTCTAAATCTATTTCCCCAGTGACTCCAAGTGACTAGGACTTTTCTTGGAGGCAGGAGGGCATCAGAGGATCATGGCTTTAGAGCTAGAAGGGACCTTACAGGTCATCAAAATCAATCAGATGAGGAAACAGGCCCAGAGAGTTTAAGTGACTTGCCCAGGGTCATACAGCTAGTAAGTGTCTGAGGCAAGATTCAAACCCAAGCTCAGCACTATCCAGTCACTATACTGTCCTGCTTTAGAGAAGAGAAAGGTCAGAGAGGTCAAGCTACTTAAATTCCACCACTTTTCTTTTGGCCCTTTTCTGATTACTTCTTAAGAGGGTCTCCTTTTTCCTTCTACTTTTCATCAGTCATTTTGGGAAGGAGAACAGTATTGCTTTGCTAGTGATGGTACCTCGGATCTCTAGAAAACCTTTCTTTGTACAAGTTTCAGAGCCCTTCCGCTCCCTCTCTCTCCCACCCATTTCTTATGCCTGCCCCCCCCCCACAAGGCAGGAAAGAGCAATGTCTAAATTGAAGGCTGTAAAGCAATGTGGTTGGTGCAAGGCTGGAATCTGAATCTTGAGGACTAATCCACCTCTCCAGCTTCTGACCTATACTGTTACATCCCTTTAGCTCCAATGTCTCATCCCCATCTTACCCTACCCCAGTGCTTTCATTTCACCTTCCTCCATTGATTCATGAATCCTCTTCCTATTTGCAAATGGAGGGTTCCCACGACCAGAAACTTGGTAACCAGTTAAGGCTTACATCTGGCTTTACTTTATTCCCTTTGCAGCAGCTATACACCTCAGCCTGTTCTCCCCTTCCCTCCTTTATACTCATTGCCCCTTAAATGTCCTCATTGTCCACCCCAGGGCCTTTCCTTTGTGAACACCAAGCGTGGCCCAGCTGCTTGAACAGTGTATTCAGTCATTTTGCAGTCTGTCTGACTCTTTGTGACTCTTCAATTCTTTCTCAGCAAAGATACTGGAGTTTGCCATTTCCTTCTCCAGCTAATTTTACAGATGAGGAACTCAGGCAAACAGGGTTAAATGACTTGCCCAGGGTCACACAGCTAGTAAAAATCAGGAAAATGAGTCTTCCTGACTTCTGGCCTGGCACTCTTATTTACTGTACCACCTACCTGTCCTGTGCTTGAACAATAGCTCTGAAAAAATAATAAATAAATGCTATGGGAACTTGGAGGAGGGAGAAATCACCTTGTTTAGTGCAGTCAAGGAAAGCTTTCTGGAGGAGGTGAGATTTGAGCTGGGCCAAGGGATGGGTAGGATTCACGTAAGTAGAGAGGAAGGGTGGAGAGACCATTCTAAGCAGCAAACTGGGGGATCAGAGGTCCTGGAGACAAGAAAGTATTGAATGTTGGAGGATCAGTGAGCAGAGCAGTATGGTTCTGTTAAAGAGTAATGGGAGATGTCTGGGAAAGTAGAAGAAAGGACTGCAAAGGTCTTTTGTGTTCTATTATTCTACTCCTTTCTTCTTATTCCATCTCTTGTCTCTCCTATTCCTTTCCCTGCTTCCCCACCCCAGGTCAGTGTTTGAGGCCCACAGCCAAATAGATCAGCTTTTTCCAGACCCCTTACCACTAGGAGAGCACTGAATTCCAAGAGGCTTAAAAAACCTGTGGCCAAATCCTCAGGGGTTCCTAGCACATATGAGGGATAGGGAATGGGGCACTATCCCCTTACCTCTACCTACTGAAAAAGGAAAAGGGAGCCTGGGGTTAAAGCCATTATCCACAATAATATCCTTTTGATTTCTTGAATCCAATTTGCCACACTTCTTAAAAGTAAGGCTGAACTAGAGTGTGTTGCATGCACTAGGCACTTAATGTTTGTTGAAAGGATAGGTGGATAGGTGGATGGGTAGGTGAGTGGGTGGGTAGATGGATGAATGTGTGAGAGGGAGATGGATGGGTGGATGAATGGATAGGTGGATGGATGGATGGATGGATGGATGAATGGATAGATAAATGAGTGGATAGATGGGTAAAGTAGGGAGAACAAGGAAGATATAAGGGATAGACAGAAAGAGCTACTTTGGACTATAGAAAGCTGTAAAGTTCCTTATAGATAAGTTAATTAATAAGAGTTTATTAAACACATACTATTTGCCAGCCGCTATCAAGTGTTAGGCACTGAGAATAAAAACAGAGAAATAGTTCCTACCTTTCAGGATCTCACATTCTATTGGGGGAAATAACAGAATGTGTAGAATCAAATATGAAATACATATAGGGTACTTTATGATGCACCAGTAGCTGCAGGTATCAGGGAAGGCCTCATGTAGATGGAACTAAAGCCAAACTTTGACAGAGTTAAGAGATTCTAAGAATCAGAAATGAAGAGAGTGCATTCTAGGCATGGAGAAACAGCCTTTACAAAGTTATGAAGATGGGTGTTGGAATGCCGTGTATGAGGAGTCCAATGTTTCTTAAGCTAAACGATACTGAGGACTAGGAATATAGTTTAATTCTCTATCATGAATGACTCCTCTCTCTAGGCTACAGCTCTCTAGAACTCAGAGTGCTCTCTGAGAGCCTGATAATGGGAGAGAAACAGGGAGTCAAGGGTAAGACAGACAAGAAGTAAGAAGAAGGAGATTTTTATGTTTCGAGGTTTTGAGAAGTGAGGACTTGGGGTAGAAAAATGGTATGCAGACCAGGAAAAATTTCCTTGGCATCAGAAGCCACGAAACACTGGTCCAGTTCCAAACATTTCTTTTACAGTAGAGGTAAATGTGACTTATCACGTACCTTATTGATTTAAATGAGTAAGTAGTGATCTCTGGATCCTGTCTAGCCTTAGACCCATACAATCTATCTGCCTCTCCCACCCCTTGTGCTACCTGGATTTACAGAACCAAACCATGGGAAGCTAATACTCCCCCCTCCAAGACTAAATGACCAAATGTGCAGCCAGTCAACATGCCTTTACCTCTACTGAACACTTGAAGGAATCAAAAGCCATGGTTCAAGTTTTTGAGGATTGAAAGGAGGGTCATGGTGGAAACCTAGCCATGGAGCTGAACTCCCTTCTGGACTTGCACCCTGGGCAGGTGCTCCCTAGACAGTAGTTCCATTTTCTTTTTGGAAAAGTTCAGATAAATCAGTATTCTGGCATCACTGAGATCTGAGTGCCTGGGAAATCACTGTCAGGCGGGCTGTTCCATCATATTTACAGTAAGCTTTTAGGTTTTTTTCAAGCAGAATCAAAATGAGGAACCACTTAGTCATTAGCTCCTTCTAGTTAAATGTATTAAACTCTCTCTCTCTCTCTCTCTCTCTCTCTCTCTCTCTCTCTCTCTCTCTCTCTCTCTCACACACACACACACACACACACACACACACACACACGCACTCTCCTACAAACTTTATTAAACACACACCAGGGATCAGGCATCTATAAGGGGCCAGGGCCCAGGGAAGAAGGCTTACCTCCCCTGTCACTCTCCCCAGGCTAATCAAAACGAATACTTTTCAAGAACAGCACTTTGAGAAAATGTCACTCTGCTGGGTCGGAATTCATCACATAGCTTGCCACAGCAGCTATAATCTTTAATCATCCAGAGCAATCAAAACAAAACAAAAAAAAGCCAAATAGCATTGCAGGCTATGGCTCAGTGCTGGCTCATGGTGAAATGCCCTGTCACTGCAGTGACGGGAGCTGGAAGCTTGGGAGCTAAGAGCTGTGGTTCCACCAATCCCATCACCTTCAGCTGCCACCTACTCCCTAGGTAGATGGTTCTATAATAATAATAATAATAATAATAATAATGATAATAACGACAGCTCACTTAATATAGTCTTTTCCAATTTACATTGTGCTTCCCTCGAAGTAATCCTGTGAAGTAAGGGGGTGCAAAAGGTGCTGTACCCATTTCAGATATGGGGAGACAAGCCTACTTTCATGCCAGGCTCTGTGCTAGAGGAAGAATTCCTGTCTTCAAGAACTGTACAGTCTAGTCATAGAAATCAAATGCTACCCATGCCAATTACAATGTGGCACAGAGACTTGGATTCCTTAAAGACCACTTTCTCCAGGGAGAGTTTTAAAACGGACTTCAAGGTGATTTTCCTTCCCATCCAGTGACTTTCACTCCATGATCCTCCTTTCTCTCTCCCATTCACGTCACAACTGAATGATGAACATGAAACCCTATACTTGAGGTAAGCTTTTTGAGAACAGGGACAGTTCCATTGTTGTCATTGTTTTGAGAAGTGAGGACTTGGGGTAGTGTGCTATGTGCCTGGCGCATAGTATGCACTTAATAAATACTGATTGAATGTAAATAGAATTGAATGGAAGTCTTTGTTCCTGGATGTGGCTTTTGCTGTGGTTTCCTATGAGTATGTAGCATTGTCCTTTGAATTCTTGGCTCTTCATCTGAGAATTTCAGAACTGAGAACAACAGAACTGGAAGGTGGAGGGATACCTTAGAGATTATCTATATCCCATTCCCCTCAACCCACTTCCCCACACACCTTTTTTTTTTACAGAGATAAAATTTAAAGCCAGAAGCCAAGACGGGGAAAATGCCATGTCCAGAGTCGTACAGTGAGTCAGTGGCAGAGCCTCAAATCCAGATTTTCTGGGTTTCCCAGTTCAGTGGTCTATGCACTACATAGGAGTATCAATGGTCACGAACTGGAAGTCTCAGCACTGGAACCAAGAACATCAAACCCCATCCATAATGAAATCTGTATTTATAGGTTTGGCTCCTATTATGAGGACCAGTCCATGTATAGCTCAGTTACTAACTAGCTACGTGATGCTGGACAATTCACCCTCCTCATCTCTGGGCCTCAGTTGCCTTAGCTGTAAAATGAAGAGGTTGGACTAGATGTCCTTTAATTAGGGTTCCTTCCAGCTCTACCATGAATTATGATTCTATTAATTGTAAAATTATGATTCTATTAATCTTAGATAATTGTGCCATTCATATGCTTAGCTACATGAGGATGAGCTTTTCTGTACTCTGAAGAGGGACAGGTTTAAACTGTATCATCAGAGCTTTAGAGAAGGTCTCAAGGTACCCAACTGGATCTCTGATCTCATTAATTCAGGAGTTCCCTCTAACAATGTAGATTGTAAACCTTCCGTGCTTGCCCATCCTGTGAGACTCTTTTCTGCATTCTCCCTAAAACTCACCAGCCCAACAATTTAGATGCCTTCTTCTCTTTCTCCCTTGTGATATCATGAGAAAGTGAAGTGGGTCCCCTTTATTTAATCATGATTTTTTTTAATAAAAAAGTTTTATTACTGTTTTTAAAAACATTCCTGTCACTCTTCAAAGACTTCCTCTTCCCTGTGCCAGACCTTCCCTTATAACAAAGTAGAGTTGATTTGCTTAATAAATAACTTGTTTTGATAAATCATTTTTCATGGATGGCAGTGTATGTCACATTCTGCAACAGTAGTCTACCAACTTTCTGCCAAGAGATAGAAAGCTTTAAGTTATTTCTCAAGGAGCATTTCTTTCCAGGTGAAAATTATTAGACCCTGTTGATAGGCAATGTGGAATTTCCCTTTCTAGGGATCCTTATAAGTGAGGTTAATTCTTTTTTTTTTTTTTGGCTAGGCAATGGGGTTAAGTGACTTGCCCAGAGTCACACAGCTAGTAAGTATTAAGTGTCTGAGGCCACATTTGAACGCAGGTCCTCTTGACCCCAAGACTGGTGCTTTATCCACTGTGCCGCCTAGCTGCCCCCAAGAGGTTAATTCTTAAAAAACATATATGTCGGCATTGGAGAAGCAGCAGGAGAGAATATCCCTTAAGGTTCCATGTATAGTTTTGTATTTATTGATATCTGCATGACTGGCCTTTGGCTAGATTGTGAAGTAGGAGAATTTGCCCCATGCCTCCTCTTTCTGCCCTTTGCAGGATCCTTCCTAGTATCTTCAGGTCAACAGTGTCCTCCATGCTCTGTTCTTCTTCCTATCAAAACCTGCTCGCAGGTAAGGATTTTATATCAGTCATTTATGCCTTAGTGTAAATAAGTTCAAGGCAGAGTCATCACATGAGATAAGCCAGTGGCATTCTGCAATGTGATTGTATAAGTGAAGCTAATGGGTGCTGAAGAGACCAGAGAACTCTCACTGAGAACATCAGCCCCAGTACCGTTGGTCCTAAGCATTGGCATTTGGGTGAGGTCCCATGAGAGACAGAGAATTATTGAAGGTTGTTGAGGGTATACTATCTGAAGCTGGCAAGAGGCTGTCCCCATAACCCAGGATTAAAATGCAGGTTGTCATTGCTTTACCACATAGGTCTGCCCCAGCCGGATCCGTTTATAAGTGGATTTCTGTAAAACAAATCCTATTTTCCTGTTGATATCCATAATAAAAGCAGATGCCTTCTTTTGAAGGGAGCAAAAATTGTGCTGAAAAGACTGACTTAAAAACCCAGAGGGTTAGGATGGCAAAGAGCTCTTTGGTGGGTTATGTATCATACTGGGAGCATTGCTGTGCTTTCTAGGTATTGTAGTCCTCACTTGAGAGTTTTAGCTTTCCTTTGCTACTGTATGTCATCATTCTGTGAGGCAGCTGAGGAATAGGGGGAAAGAGAGTTGGAATGGGGGGGAGGGGGGCATATGCTCAGAGGACCTGAGTTCAAATCCTAGCTGTTTCCATGTACTACTTGTGTGATATCGGACAAGCCATTTAAACTCCTTGCTCTTTAGGTTCCTCATCTGCCAAAAGAGAGATTTGGACTAGAAATCCTCTCAGGTTCCTTCTAACTTTTAAGTTATGATCCTGGGACCTCACAATCCCTTTCATCTTTCCAGGACTATAATAATTATGGATATTCCCAATCTAATAGAGCTTCTCAATCTAAGACATAAATAGTAATTATGGATATTCTCAATCTAATAGAGCTATAGAGCTCAATCTAATACATAAATAGCAATAGTAATTATATATTCTCAATCTAATAGAGCTATAGAGCTCAATCTAATACATAAATAGTAATAGTAATTATGGATATTCTCAATCTAATAGAGCTATAAAGCTTCTCAATTTAATAAATAAATAATAGAGCTTTTCAGTCTAATAAAGCTAATAGAGCTGGGTGGCAATATCAGATTCTGTGTGTAATGTGTGATTGTATTTTGGCTTGAGGATTCAGATTCTGTAATGTGAATTAATTCCCTGGGTTTTTTTTTTCACTTTGAGAAGTTCAAAATTCCAGCAATAGTTTCCAGTTATAGAAGATTATAGACTTAGAGCTGGAAGGGACCTCAGAGACCGTCTTGGCCATTTTACAGATGAAGAAACTGAGGCCCAAGGAGACTTAAGTCACTTGACCAAGATCACTTAGAATGAGGGATGCTTGTGAAGATTCCAGGTGTTCTTTTTGAGTCTGTGCTTTGGAACCTGGAATTATCTCCATCTGTGCCGACCATTTCCCGCCTTAGAGAGAAATCACTAGATGCAATAAGATGATCTCATTTCGGGTTGGTTCTTGGAACTGATATTTCCCCCTTGGGGCGAGGTGGGGAAGTGGGGAGGCAGGAAGAGGACTTAAAAGAAAGCCTTCATTTTCAGTGTGTTTATTTCAGTTTTTCCTCGTTATGAAGTACTCAGAGCGGCTGAGCGTGTCAGATCTGGAGAATGTGATTATACAAGAGAGAGATTTTTCAGAAAGGAAAAAAAAAGCAACCCATCAGAAATCCTAATATTGCTACATGAGTTTAAATAAAAAAGTTAGAGATCAAAACACGAGTGGGCTGCAAGCTTGAAAACTTCTCCACCAAACAGCAGCAGGCGTGAAAAAAAAAAAAGCTGGTGAGAAAACACACACACACACACACACACACACACACACACACAAGCAAGACAAGCCCATGTGTACAGTTACAAAGATACCCCTCCCCCACACACAGAGAGGCCCTGAGAAATGTGGGCCACGAAGGCGTTTCTAATTAATTTGTCAGTGGTTTTGCTTGTGAACACCTTGGGGGAGGGACCCAGGCTTTAGTGGGGTCAGCAAAGCCTGGCACCTGGTCTCTGAGCTCTGTGAATAATCAACACTGCTTCCCTGGCTGGGAATATGTTGTTTAAACTTAAGAGTTACTCTGCTGACATTCCCAGGGGCATCTCAAATGTTCTATGCACCAAAAAGGACTTATGTAGCCAGTCAAGGCACTCATTTCAGTCTGTTTGAGCTGAGCCCTCAGGATTTAATTCAGTCACCCATGCATTGGGATATCATCAGTTATCACCCATCTCTGCATTCCTATCCTTGTTCTGTAAATGAGAGTTTTGAGAGCTCAAGATTTTTCTGCCTTGGGCCTGAAATGGTCTTTGTGGCAAGAATTACTCCATGTAGATAGTTAAGAAAAAGAAATGTGGTTCAATCAAGATAAAAAAACCACATGCGGGGTAAGGGAAAAAGGCTTGCTGATTTCTCTAGGATCTTCCCAGTTTCCCCCAGTTTTGTGATTCGATTTTGTTCATGTGCATGTGGAAAGAGCTGTCTTTGGTTCTCCAAATCCCCTGCTGAATCGATCCTAGGTGGAGAGCTGAGAAGTTTCACCCTTTCATTTAATAGATGGAAGGAACATGCATTACCCAGGATCAGTCAGATAATATCAGAGGTAGTATTGGGACCCAGGTCCTCTGACTCTAGAGCCATTATGTTACTTTGGCCTGGCCTCAGGTCTTCAAAGCGGCTTAATGTAGGGTTGACCTGTTTGGGATTTGAACCTTCAGCCTGGAGAGGTTTTTATATTGAATTGATCATCACCAAAAATCCCCTGGACCGTCTGAAGAGAATTCTCTGTCCATTCTCATTCTGAAGGAGTAAGATAACTCATGGATTTAAAGTTGGAAGGGACTTTAAACACCGTAGGATAATCCATTAAGAGCTGGAAGGTATCCTAGAGGTCATCCAGTGCAATCCTAACTTTATTTTACAGGTAAGGAGACTGAGGTATTTGCTGAAGGGCATATAGTGAGTGAGCTGTAGGGCTGGTATTTGAACTCAGGCCCTATATTCCAAATCCTGTGTTCTTTCCAGTGTCATCCTGCCTCCATGACAATAATAATAACACAGTCTTTTCACATTCATTATTTCACTTCTTTTTCCCAATAGCTATGAGATACATATCAGGGATCATTGTTTCTTTGTTATCCACATTAGCACAGCAGATGGAGATCCAGCCTCTGAGACCCAGGGTACAACTCCTATCTCTGAAACATAGTGATTGTCTAACCCTGAGCAGGTCCCATCCTTGGTGCCTGAGGCTACTAAGACAGAGCTTCTTGACTTTTTTTGTCTCATGGTCTTCTTCGGCAGTCTGGTGAAGCCTGGGAGAACATTTTTAAATGTATAAAGTAAAATACATGAGATTAAAATGGAAACCAAAGGTTAGTGGAAATAAAGGTATATATTTTTTCCCATCTAAGTCTATACATGGATTCCCACTATCAATTCTTGGTTCTCCATTTCTGAAATTGTGGGTTGCAGAAGTGTTGCTATCTGTTGGTGGATGGGGTTTCCTAACCTGAAGTTATGTCTGCCAGTAAAATCATAGATTCTGCCCACAATGGAGGGAGGGAGGGAGAGAGGAAGGAAGGAAGAAGGAAGGAAGGAAGGGAGGAAGGAAGGAAGAAAGGAGGAAGGAAGGAAGGAAGGAAGGAAGGAAGGAAGGAAGGAAGGAAGGAAGGAAGGAAGGAAGGAAGGAAGGAAGAAATAGCTAACATTTTTATAGCATTTAAAGGTTTGCAAGGTACTTTTCATATATTATCACATTTGATCTTCACAGACCAGGGGCCTGAAACTCACAGAAGCTAGCGGCTTGTTCAACGTCTCGTTATCTCCTTCTCACAACAGCTCATTAATAGCAGAGCCAAAAATCGAAACCCAGATCTCTGGGCCCTTAGGCCCAGACTCTTGTTACTTTACTGAATTCTGGAGGCCTTAGGTTGGCATTAGGAGTGGGGAAACCCACAAGACCCTCAGGAGTGGGGAGCCTGTGGCCTCAAGGCCACATGTGGCCCTCTGGGTCCATGTACTTGAGGACCGAGAGGGCCACAGGTTCCCCATCCCCTTCATCTAGTCTATTTCTTCTTTCCTTAAATGATCTCCCCAGGTTCCTAAGGCCCAAAGAACTCGACAAAAGCCACTGGCAAAGAGTGCAGCAATTGAGAGAAGAGAACCATGAGTGAGTGGGCTGAGGTTGGGGGTAGAAAGAAGAAGGGAGGAAATCCCTCCTTGGGTTCTCTGGGAAAGTATCCCAAATGTGGGAGGTGTTTCTGCCAATGCGGCTGGTGTCTGGTGTCTGGGGAAGCACAGTTACTGCTCATCTCCCAGTCAGACTTCCCGAACGAGCCACAGCTGACAGTGCTGAATGGGGAGGCGATGTGGGTCAAATCCCCCGGGGGATGTAAACACCTGAAAATCAGGCTTATTCCCCTGTACCTATTCCTTGTTCCCTCCTGGGATAGCCAGTTGTACCCAATAAAAGTTCCAGGTATTTTTCCCCCCAGACAGCAAAGCCCTAAGAGAGAAAGTCTCCATGGGCTTGAGAGAAATGCCGAATTACCAGAGGAGACTCCACCTGCTCTCCAATCCTATTTAACCCAAGTGACTGTTTGTTATTTAGCTTGAGTAATAGTTTTATTATTTAGACCGAGCAACAAAATTAGTAGTTTGCTGCAACACTAAACAACACTGAGCCCGGAAATGTGCTTACACACACCCATAATTGCCTGCGTATGAGCAGAAAAGGGCCATTTTAGAAGAATTTTCTGTTTTATACTCTGCTGGCTTTGAGGTAGGGAGGAAGGGGGGAGGTGAAGCATAGTATTGTCAGTCAGTAGCATTTAGTGATTCACCTCCCTGCTCCTTTGTCTCTCTCTCCCCTTCTATGATTCTCACTGGGAGTTTCCCTCTCCCACTACCTGATTCATTAAGGATTGGGCTGAGGGCTTTGTGACTTACTTAGCAGGTC